CGCCACATCTCACATTTTGTACGTGTGGATCTGCAGTCCAACATACAGGCCTGTGTGGCCATATGTCTGACACTTGTCATGTTAGTTAATATGCAAGTGTATGTGATTTCGAGCTCGATGTGTCCCCTCATATGATTTCGTATGATTATGTTATTTGTTGATTTTCTAAGATTTTGGTACTCATTTGGTTCGATGTCTTGAGATAATTTTGGCATGTTTGTATTACCATTTTTCTATATTTGTTTATCTGTTCACTGGGCATTTGGCTCAGCCGTGTTTTCTTCTATTCCTCACGGCAGGTAATCAAGGGGGCGGTTAGGTCTTGTGACAGAGAGTAGACCAGGATCTTGGTTTCAAGGTTTCGAGAGGTTTAGAGCTATGTTGTTTCGCTTATTAGAATCTTTTTCTTTTGGCTATTAGATTAGATTTCTTTGGTTGTTATTGGATTTTCCTCGGTTGTTGGAGGATTTTGGAAGTGGTTTGTTTGGAGACATATATATCTTATTTGGAGTTATATTCAATTTCGTTATTGGAAGATTTTATTTTATTTCTTTGTATTGGAGGTTTTATTTCTTCGTTATATTTTGGAGGTTTTATATAGCGGCTCTGTTACGTTTTGAAGCAACTTCCCTTCCTTCGGAATGGGGGTGTTACATACACACATAACCGTACATATATATATATATATATACATATATATAAACTTGAAATAACAACCAGAATATTACATTATAAGATGGAGAAGTTAGCTCAGATATATATAAACGAAATCGTCGCTAGGCATGGGGTGCCTGTTTCCATTCTATCGGATAGGGACAACCGTTTTACGTCAAGGTTTTGGCAGTCGCTTCAGCAAGGGATGGGTACTCGTATAGACCTAAGCACTTCTTATCACCCCCAGACTGATGGACAAACCGAAAGAACTATCCAGACCCTGGAAGACATGTTGCGCGCCTGTGTTATAGATTTTGGTGGAAGTTGGGACACGCATCTTCCGTTAGTGGAATTTGCCTACAACAACAGCTACCATACCAGCATCCAGTGTGCGCCTTATGGAGCTTTGTATGGGCGCAAGTGCAGATCTCCACTGTGTTGGTCAGAAATTGGTGATAGGCAACTAACTGGACCTGACGTTATCCAAGAAACTACCGATAAGATTATGGTAATCAGAAATCGACTCAAGGCTGCAAGGGATTGTAATAACCTGGTTATTATTTTAGTGATATATATATGTATGATGCTTGTACTGCCTCCACTTGTGATAGAGCATGGGGTCGTACAAACTTTGCGAAAGTGTTGGTGGATGTGTGGGCCGTGGGAGAAATGCAGCGAAATATAGAAGTGGTGATTCCACGGCTCTCAGGTACTGGAGAGGACATCATCAATGTTGTTCTAGAATATGATTGGATTCCCTCTCAATGTTCAAGCTGTAAAGTGTTTGGTCATCGCACGGGGTCTTGTCTGAAAGGAGATGTTACAAAGAAACGGGTTTCTGAGACAGTCGTGGATAAAAGGGGGTTTA